CTGAACTTTGTGACTTTGTCCTCACCCATAACTATTTCACATTTGGGGACAATGTATACCTTCAAATCAGCGGCACTGCTATGGGTACCCGCATGACCCCACAGTATGCCAACATTTTTTTGGCTAACTTAGAACAATGCTTCCTCAGCTCTCATTCCCTAATGCCCCTACTCTACTTGTGCTACATTGATGACATCTTCATCCTCTGGACCCATGGAAAAGAAGCCCAAGAGGGAATTCCACCAAGATTTCAACAATTTCCATCCCACCATCAACCTCAGCCTGGACCAGTCCACACAAGAGATCCACTTCCTGGACACTACAGTGCTAATAAGCGATGGTCACATAAACACCACCCTATACCGGAAACCTACTGACTGCTAATGCTTACCTACATGCCTCCAGCTTTCATCCACACCACACCACATGATCCATTGTTTACAGCCAAGCTGTACAATACAACCGCATTTGCTCCAACCCCTCAGACAGAGACAAACACCCACAAGATCTCTATCAAGCATTCTTACAACTACAATACCCACCTGCTGAAGTGAAGAAACAGATTGACAGAGCCAGAAGAGTACCCAGAAGTTACCTAATACAGGACAGGCCCAACAAAGAAAATAACAGAACGCCACTAGCCATCACCTTCAGCTCCCAACTAAAACCTCTCCAGAGCATCATCAAGGATCTACAACGTATCTTGAAGGATGACCCATCACTCTCACAGAACTCGGGAAACAGGCCAGTCCTTGCTTACAGACAGCCCCCCAACCTGAAGCAAATACTCACCAGCAACCACACACCACACAACAAAACCACTAGCTCAGGAACCTAACCTTGAAACAAAGCCCGTTGCCAACTGTGTCCACATATCTATGGACACCATCATAGGGCCTAATCACATCAGCCACACTATCAGAGGCTCGTGCACCTGCACATCTACCAATGTGATATATGTCAGCATATGCCAGCAATGCCCCTCTGCCATGTACATTGGCCAAACCAGACAGTCTCTACCTAAAAGAATAAATGGACACAAATCAGACGTGAAGAATTATAAAACATTCAAAAACCAGTCGGAGAACACTTCAACCTCTCTGGTCACTCAATTACGAGCTAAAAGTGGCAATACTTCAACAAAAAAACTTCAAAAACAGACTCCAACGAGAGACCTGCTGAATTGGAATTAATTTGCAAACTGGACCCCATTAAATTAGGCTTGAATAAAGACTGGGAGTGGATGTGTCATTACACAAAGTAAAATTATTTCCCCAAGTTTATGCCCTCCCCCACCCCCACTATTCCTCAGATGTTCTTGTCAACGGCTGGAAATGGCCCACCTTGATTATCACTACAAAAGGTCTGTTTTTTTCCCTCTCCTGCTGGTAATAGCTCACCTTACTTGATCACTCTCGTTACAGTGTGTATGGTAACACCCACTGTTTCATGTTCTCCGTGTATATTAAATCTCCCCACTGTATTTTCCACTGCATGCATCCGATGAAGTGAGCTGTAGCTCACGAAAGCTTATGCTCAAATAAATTTGTTAGTCTCTAAGCTGCCACAAGTACTCCTTTTCTTTAAACTGATCTGGGTTCTCTTGAAGAGCAAGGGACCTATAGCCATGGTTTCCATAGCTGCCAAAAAACTCTCTGAGGGTGTTCCGACTTGCAACTCAAGCCTTTTTAAAAAAAAAAAAACCAAAAACATTTCAATTATATCTTTACATGGCAAAGAATTAGAAACCATTTTTTGTTGTTGTTTATCTGAAAGCTGAGATTAGCCTTGACATTTCTAGGTTCCTCACATCTGAAAAAGTTGGGGGGGATACCTGCGAATTTTGCAGGCCTCACAGGCTACTTCTGAAGTACTTTTACATTATAGTAAAGAAGTTATAACATCTTTCGTATCATAGCAGATTAGGAGCCAGGATTTCATTCACTCTGAAGAAACAATACTGCACAGTGTGGGAGAAGGAAAAGACTTAATCAGTTTTTCTCTCTCTGTTACTAGAAAGAGACAGGCCAAGTTTCCAAATGTAAGGTTGCAAGGGACCTTAGGAGGCCAACAAGCACAGCCCTCTATGCTGAGGCAGGACCAAGTCAACCTAGACCATCCCTGACAGGTGTATGTCCCATCTGTTCTTAAAAACCTCCAATGATCAAATTCCAAAACCTCCCTGGGAAGTCTACTCCAGAGTTTTACTATCCTTACAGATAGGAAAAACTATCTAATATCTAACCGGAATCTCACTGGCTGCAGATTAAGCCAATTACTTCTTATCCTACCATCAGCGGACACTGAGAACTATTGATAACCATCCTCTATATAACAGCCCTTAACATATTTGAAGACTGTTATCAGGTACCTTCTCAGTCTTGTCTTCTCAAGACTAAATATGCCCAGTTTTTTTAAGTCTCTCCTCATAGGTCAAGTTTTCTAAGCCTTTAATCATTTTTGTTGCTCTCCTCTGGACTCTCTCCAATTTGTCTCTTTCTTAAAGTGTGGAGCCTAGCATGGAACTGATTGTCTACACAGTGTGCACATGTGTTTTGCAGTCATAGCTGCAATTAAAACTTACCATCACAGGCACAACATCTATTCTTCCACTAATTCCTACCATAATAGTGACCAGTCTACAAAATTAAACCATAAGCACGCTGCCCCTCCTCCCAAACAATTGCGCAGAATTTTATAAGGTTGTTGCTGTATTTCAAAGTCTCTTCCAAATGTACATTGAAGTTACCTGTATTTTTCAATGAAAAACAGTGACAAAAAGGAGGTACCAGTACTTTGATGACATATGGAATATCATTTGTTTACTCCTCAACTATAGACACCAACATAGCTTATGGTTAAGCCACAACTAAAATTCACCCATAGAGTCTCTGAACACCTGGAAAGGTATCTGAGGACAATGTGGGTGAAACAGAGCTCAGAAAACAGTGTTCTTGAAGTTTAGTCTGATCAGCTTCACATTCACGTCTTTTGTAATTCTTCCTTTTTGAGACAAGCAGGCAATTTGCACACAATACCTATTAATTTATTTCACATTAGAGAAATATTTAATTTGACCGTCAGCATTTAGCAACCCCTTCTTTCTCCTGTATTCTGCCATTCTCTCCCCTTCCCAAAAGCCAGCATGTTGCATTAAACAAAAGAAAAAAAATAAATAAAATAAAATAAAATAAAAAGGAGTGCCCAGAAAGGTTATATGAAGTGGAAAACTTGGTTTCTTGAACTGACATTTGGGTAAAGATTCACACAACACTGCACATTTCACCAATTATTCTACTTCATGCATAGCTGAACGCACGTCTCTTGACATATGCACTTAACCCCCCCACCCCACTCCAAAAAACCTGTACAAAAGAAACAGCCAGTATTGATGGAATGATGCAGTACGTACAGCAAATGGCTAATAATGCCAGTTTGTTGTTTTTTTTAAACAACTTGCATGACAATGTTTTGAAAACTTCAATTATCTTCTTCTACTTTAAGAAGGAAATATTAAGCCCTTTTAAGTCAATGGGAGTTTTACCATTAGTAGGGGACAGTATTACACCCTATGTACATAATATAGAATTTCATTCATTCATGTACTCATTTATAGATCTTTAGGTAAAGGAAACAGCTCCTTTGTCTGGAGTATACTATTTCAACTCTGATGCCCAAACTTACAGACTAAGGGCATGTCTACACTTGCCATTTAGAGTGGAAAAAGTCCCTTTTTTGCACAAAAAACATGGGAGCATCTATACTTGCTAATGACTTTTTGCGGTGAAACTCAGAAGTTTCACCGTAAAAAGAAAACCACCTCCACAAGAGACATACAGCTCTTACAGGTGATGCTTTTGCAATGATGTGCAAGTGAAGACACGTTCTTCCTGTTTACACAGCTTTTAGCCTCCTGAGGATATCCCACAGTGCCTAGGTGAGCACTCTGGCCAGTAGCTCTGCTGCTCTGATGCCAGATAAACAGACATCCACCCCTCCCCCCTGTAAAGCCCCCAGAACTTTGAAATTCCCCTTCCTGTTTTCTTGGCAAGTGCTTACTTATCTGGCCAGGTGACAATTCCTGCTCCCGATCCCCTACTTGGAGCAATGCTTAGCTACTGGAGCTGATCAGTGTTTGGGGAGAGGAGGCTGTGCAGGCACCCAGGATGCCCCGGGTCCCTGCACAGACTCCTCTCCTCAAACACTGATCAGTTCCAGTAACTGCACCCCCCTCCCCACAAGGCCTATCGTCAAAATGGAGAGAGCTACACTGTGGGATAGCTGCCCGCAATGCACTGCTCTCATCAGTGATGGAAGTGCTGCAAATGTAAACGTTCTCTGATGCCTGTGGAAGTGAGTGAGTACACAAACCAGTGCTTTTCTTTCACTGGTTCACGATCACTGTTGCAACTGACAGTGCTAAAACTCTGCAAGTGTACATATAGCCGAAGTAAAAGAAAGAAGCAATATGTACAGCTTGACTCAGATTCACCACAAACACAAAGATGGTGGTTATCTTTTGCAATCTGAAGACAAAAGCGGTAGCTGGGTGTGTACAAACTTTCAGTCCTGACAAAACTTGACAATGCAATGAGGGAGTTCTTTGGAAGCATGGGTGAAATCCTAAAAAGAATGCCCTCTTCATGATAACCTCAATAATTTCAATGAAACAGTCAGTCATTGAGTTCAGCCTAGCAATCAGAGTACAAAAGGTTTAAAAAAAAAAAACCAAACAAGAACTTGTTCTGAACATTTTTCATGGTAACATTTTTCAGTTATGGTTAGCTTTTTGGAACTGTCATAAATATAAAGGGAAGGGTAAACCCCTTTAAAATCCCTCCTGGCCAGAGGAAAAATCCTTTCACCTGTAAAGGGTTAAGAAGCTAGGATAACCTCGCTGGCACCTGACCAAAATGACCAATGAGGAAACAAGATACTTTCAAAAGCTGGGAGGAGGAAGAAAAACAAAAGGGTCTGTGTCTGTCTGTGTGATGCTTTTGCCGGGTACAGAACAGGAATGGAGTCTTAGAACTTAGTAAGTAATCTAGCTAGATATGCATTAGATTAGGATTTCTTTAAATGGCTGAGAAATTAAGCTGTGCTGAATAGAATGGATATTCCTGTCTGTGTGTCTTTTTGTAACTTAAGGTTTTGCCTAGAGGGATTTTCTATGTTTTGTATCTAATTACCCTGTAAGGTATTTACCATCCTGATTTTACAGAGGTGATTCTTTTTTACTTCTTCTATTAAAATCCTTCTTTTCAGAAACTGAATGCTTTTTTCATTGTTCTTAAGACCCAACAGTTTGGGTCTGTGGTCACCTAGGCAAATTGGTGAGGATTTTTACCAAACCTTCCCCAGGAAGTGGGGTGCAAGGGTTAGGAGGATTTTGGGGGGGAAAGACGTTTCCAAACAACGTTTTCCTAATAAAAATAAACCCAGATAAATGTTTAGTGGTGGCAGTGGAAGTCCAAGGGCAAAGGTAAAATAGTTTGTACCTTGGGGAAGTTTTAACCTAAGCTGGTAAAAGTAAGCTTAGGAGGTTTTCATGTAGGTCTCCACATCTGTGCCCTAGAGTTCAGAGTGGGGAAGGAACCTTGACAGGAGCCAAATAAAAAACAACCCCAAGATGACTGCCACCACTGAGAAACTAATCACCATCCTGATTTATTCAAATCAGAGAGAAAATTGTTAAAGTCTGACTGTTAAATAAATATTAGAAGAACAGGTTGGAAATTATTTTCTATTTTTACATTGAGTTTCCATGCAGCCAGGATAGCATACGATCCCTCTCAGACCCCTGATCACTACTGCAATTGGTTCAGAAATGCCATTCTCTACTAAGCTTCTGATTATATTTCATGCTTATCTTTCTTTACTTAACACCTGTTAGTCTTGTGTATTTATTTTTTATTTGTATCGGCAGAGCACACGGGAATACCAATCATGGACCAGGACGCCACCGTGCTAGGCACAGTACAAAGATGATCCTTGCCCCAAAGAGTTTTCAGTCAGTGTTGCAAAAGCCTGGTAAGATATATTTGAAAGTAAAAAGTAATATTTAAACATAATTCAGTCTATATATCAAAAGAAGTGCTCTGAATAACATTTCATCCACCTCTGTAATGCATCTTTTTCCTTTAACAAAAAACGCCAATCTGTTACAAGTTTCAGAGTAACAGCCGTGTTAGTCTGTATTCACAAAAAGAAAAGGAGTACTTGTGGCACCTTAGAGACTAACCAATTTATTTGAGCATAAGCTTTCGTGAGCTACAGCTCACTTCATCGGATGCATACTGTGGAAAGTGTAGAAGATCTTTTATACACACAAAGCATGAAAAAATACCCCCTCCCACCCCACTCTCCTGCTGGCAATAGCTTATCTAAAGTGATCACTCTCCTTACAGTGTGTATGATAATCAAGTTGGGCCATTTCCAGCACAAATCAAGAATCCTGAACTAGTGACATCTTGCATTTCCTAGGAACAAGAAAAGTCTTTAAAAAATTATATATATTGAATGTAATTTATAGGTAACAGGGTAAATGTTTATTAACAATAGGAGTTAGTTGTTATAATCCTGGATTGATTTCCTCACGAGAAAGCCACACAAAAACACTCTGCGTGGTAATTTTATAGCATTTGTTGTAAGACTAAAAAGAACTTCAGTTTAGTGAAAAAGTCCTTGTGTACAGAAGCACATCAAGATCAGAATGAACGTTACACCTATTTCAAAAAGTTCTTAATATAAAGCAATTGCATGGTAATGTAGCACTGGGGACATAGTGTGAAAGTAGAAGAGTGTGGGCAAACATGCCTTCTCTTCTGGTTCTTATTTAAAAAAGGGAAGAAGGAGGATCCTGGGAACTACAGGCCAGTCAGCCTCACCTCAGTCCCTGGAAAAATCATGGAGCAGGTCCTCAAAGAATCAATCCTGAAGCACTTGCATGAGAGGAAAGTGATCAGGAACAGCCAGCATGGATTCACCAAGGGAAGGTCATGCCTGACTAATCTAATCGCCTTTTATGATGAGATTACTGGTTCTGTGGATGAAGGGAAAGCAGTGGATGTATTGTTTCTTGACTTTAGCAAAGCTTTTGACACGGTCTCCCACAGTATTCTTGTCAGCAAGTTAAGGAAGTATGGGCTGGAAGAATGCACTATAAGGTGGGTAGAAAGCTGGCTAGATTGTCGGGCTCAACGGGTAGTTATCAATGGCTCCATGTCTAGTTGGCAGCCGGTATCAAGTGGAGTGCCCCAAGGGTCGGTCCTGGGGCCGGTTTTGTTCAATATCTTCATAAATGATCTGGAGGATGGTGTGGATTGCACTCTCAGCAAATTTGCGGATGATACTAAACTGGGAGGAGTGGTAGATACGCTGGAGGGGAGGGATAGGATACAGAAGGACCTAGACAAATTGGAGGATTGGGCCAAAAGAAATCTGATGAGGTTCAATAAGGATAAGTGCAGGGTCCTGCACTTAGGACGGAAGAACCCAATGCACAGCTACAGACTAGGGACCGAATGGCTAGGCAGCAGTTCTGCGGAAAAGGACCTAGGGGTGACAGTGGACGAGAAGCTGGATATGAGTCAGCAGTGTGCCCTTGTTGCCAAGAAGGCCAATGGCATTTTGGGATGTATAAGTAGGGGCATAGCGAGCAGATCGAGGGACGTGATCGTTCCCCTCTATTCGACATTGGTGAGGCCTCATCTGGAGTATTGTGTCCAGTTTTGGGCCCCACACTTCAAGAAGGATGTGGATAAATTGGAGAGAGTCCAGCGAAGGGCAACAAAAATGATTAGGGGTCTGGAACACATGAGTTATGAGGAGAGGCTGAGGGAGCTGGGATTGTTTAGCCTGCAGAAGAGAAGAATGAGGGGGGATTTGATAGCTGCTTTCAACTACCTGAAAGGGGGTTCCAAAGAGGATGGCTCTAGACTGTTCTCAATGGTAGCAGATGACAGAACGAGGAGTAATGGTCTCAAGTTGCAGTGGGGGAGGTTTAGATTGGATATTAGGAAAAACTTTTTCACTAAGAGGGTGGTGAAACACTGGAATGCGTTACCTAGGGACGTGGTAGAATCTCCTTCCTCAGAGGTTTTTAAGGTCAGGCTTGACAAAGCCCTGGCTGGGATGATTTAACTGGGAATTGGTCCTGCTTCGAGCAGGGGGTTGGACTAGATGACCTTCTGGGGTCCCTTCCAACCCTTATATTCTATGATTCTATGATGGACTTAAGTGAAACATTTTTCGGAGTGGTAGCCGTGTTAGTCTGTATCAGCAAAAACAACGAGGAGTCCTTGTGGCACCACAGAGAAACAAATTTATTTGGCTTATGCTCGTTGTTTTTAAGTGAAACAGACATTTATATCAGTTCTCACGGACAAGACAGCGTACAAAGCTTGGGACCATTACTGAAGAGACTTGTTATCAGCCTTCAGAAAAGCTAGCTGCCCATTGCCCTAAAACAACTGGGTACAAGACTCTTACTCAAGAGGCCATCTATTGGCATTAACTTTTGCGCTCTCTCAAATCTGCGGGGTGTTTTATTTTTTGGGGGTGGGGGGGAATGGGATGATAGGTGATGAACAGACTCTAGATATATATAGGTTTCAGAGTAGCAGCCGTGTTAGTCTGAGACGTATCTGCAAAAAGAAAAGGAGTACTTGTGGCACCTTAGAGATGAACAAATTTATTTGAGCATAAGCTTTCGTGAGCTACAGCTCTCTTCATCGGATGCATTCTCACACTCTCAAAGAAACTGCGGGACCACCTGATCAACATCCTCTACAGCAAACAGGGAAAGATTAAGAATGATCTCTCAAAACTGGATACTCTCATAAAAAACCAACCTTCCACACAAACTTCCTCGTGGCTGGACTTTACAAAAACTAGACAAGCCATTTAAGGAATGCATCCAATGAAGTGAGCTGTAGCTCACGAAAGCTTATGCTCAAATAAATTTGTTCATCTCTAAGGTGCCACAAGTACTCCTTTTCTTTTTGCAGATATACATAGATTCCTCTGGTATATAGATCAGTCTAACTTTCGATATAAGCATGGCATGGAGCCTTCACTTACTGATACCTTGTAAGTGGTTTAGGTTTTGAAACGTTTCCGTTGTTGTTATAGTTGTTATAAGATCAGAACATCGCAAATAAGGGAACTTACTGATACTGTCAAGCAGAGGCTGCTCCCTGGCATCGGCTCACGTTATCCATTGGAGTGGGGAAATGAGGGCAGCCTTAAAAGCAAGAGTCCTTACCATGGCCAGGTTTTAAAGGCTGAGGAGGAGAAGATTATTGTTTTCCAGCATTTTATTTCGAGTGTAGGTGTCCTTGAGGATGCAAGGTTCTTAATGGTGCCTTCACCTTCTGCTGGACTTTTGCAGTTTGCCTTTTGTATTGGGAAAGGGACACTGTATTTGTCTTAAAGTCAGGGATGGGAAATTGGACAATAATATTTCATACTCAGATGTAAGATACAGAGTCTTGTAGAAACATTGCCAATGCAAAGGGCATTGGCTGACAGGGACACTACTCTTTAGTTTATGTTGTTTAACCCACGGTTGGTGGTGAATGAGGTTATCTACATCAAGTCATAGACAGGCAAAATTGAAGGCTGTATCTATCGGAGTCCTGGTAGGATGATTCAGCTAGTTCAGCTGGCTCTGCTTTAGCTAGGCACTCGTGCAACATGAGAGCAGGTCAGGAAGGTGATGATGTTATTTGCACAGAACTTCCAAGACCAGATTTTGCTGTGTTTGCCTTGTCTGAGAGATCATAGCAGGGCTTAAGACTGAACCAGACTCTCATTTGTGTGCTGGGGGAATTCAAAAATTTAGCCCTAGTTAGTTCATCGTCATTCTTCTGACACCACGAGGTGCAAAAGGCAGAAGTCAAACTGAACTAACCATCCCTATCCTGGGCTTGTTTTTCCAGGTCTTTTATATTCAAATGCAATAATGCCACTTCAGCCATTATTGTGCTATTGAGTGTGCCTCTAGATCAGCCTCTCTGTTTCTTGCCCTGCAGTTGCCAAAGAAATGCTTTAGTAGCCTATCATAGGGCATTCTTAAACGATATCCCAAAATTGGTCTCTCTTCTATCTTACTTGGATTGCTGCAGGTAATTATGTACATATACATATATATGGTTAAGGTTCTAATTATCTGATGGACTGCCTCTCTACTTAGCATGCCAATCCAGATGCCCAGTTCAGCAATGTAGCATCTGCTATAAGTCCTTAGATTTGAATATGTATTCTGTTTTCACAGATACCCCAAAGAAGAGCTCCTAACTCTACAATTTGCTGTCTCCACTAACCTGAAGTCAGAGTTTGCTGGCCCTCTAGGCACAGAGTAAAACCTCACATCTTCCACTGGGATACTTGTGAGGTATCTTTTTTTTTTTTTTTAAATAAATACAGGCAGTCCTCGATTTTATGACGTTCCACTTACGATGAATGGCACTTACTTTGTTTCTAAATCAACACCCTGATTGGACTACAACAACTGGTTTTAACTTTACGACGCTCGGTCCCGCAAAGGAGTGGATTGCGGTTCCGAGTTACAACGTTTCGACTTACGACGCAATTTTCAGGAACCAACTGTGTCGTAAGTCCAAGGACTGCCTTTATATTATTCACTTGACTACATACTGGTATGGATTTTGATCTCATACTAGTTTTATACTCATGTAACTACACTGAAGTTAATGTAGTTAATTTTGGATTTATTCTGGTGTAGAAGACCAGAATCAGATTTATTGTTTTTTTAATATTGTGCATGTATTAGACACATTTTTAATAAATTGCTTTGAGCCAAAAAAGCAAGACCTCACATTTTAGCGATCACTAATATTTGATAAATTAAGGCCACAAAAGGATAATAGATATCGGTCTCACATGAAATAAACCACACCAAGGCTTTTGGCTGTCTCTCAAGACATCACCTTCAATGCATAAAGTCCAGGATCTAAATTCTCATTAGCCTCTACCCACATACTCACGTTCTGGGAGAGGAGTTTGCTTTTTTAACTGCTAATTTCATAAGAAAAACTTTGGTCCTAAGAGATTGAGAGACATGGCTGTGCATCTTGATGCACACACGGAGTCCATAACCTGAGTCGATCTTGAGACACAGGGTGATGTGTGCCAGTGTAAATGAGGTTAGGAGATAGCTTTAAAATGTACACATGGCAAGTGCACATTGGTCTGAGAACCTATTTTTTATGTATTTAATCAAAGCCTTCCTACATAAAGGCACACAAAATGAACAATGATCCAAATTAAAAAAAAAAAAAAAAAAAAAAGATGTCCAGGTCGTAAAAAACAGTGCAGAAATTTCATCAAGATAGGAGAAGAAATGAGAAGACAAGACAACAACTGCCTAAGTGGGAGGAAGCTAAATAAAACCCATGTTTTCACATTGGGATCCTCTTTATAGGATATTGCAAAGCCTTTGCTCCTTAGTTTAACATAGTTTTGAAAGGAATCACAAAGATAAGCCATAAATATGAATACGTAGCACGCACACATGCACATTCACCCCCTCTACACATGATGTGAGCCTGACTTTCTTCTCAGGCCTTTGAAAAAAAGGGATGGAGAAGTCTGAGCCAGAGATGCTAAATGCTCAAAAAGATAGGGATGCAAAAGCTCCTCTCACTGAAGGATAAAACATGCTAGTCAGTCCCTGAGACAGAATTCAGGCCATGACGTCAAAGAATAGCAGTTTACCCATAATTTTTAACAAAATGGGTATCTACAGCTTCTTATTGTGGAAAGCTGTTTTTTTTTCTCCAAGAGCCTTTTTTAAGCATCAAATTATAATTGTTGCTGTTTGTTCCACTTTCATTTTGTGTCTCTCATGCTCTATGATTTGAGATTTAATAAATAAAAAGACAGTAATCATTCTCTGACTGTATCCTATTTAAGTGTATATTATCTCTTCACATTACCAGACAGCACCCAAACTGAGCTGTTCTGATCCTAGACAGATGTCAGAATAGTGAAATTCTAGTCTTAAGAAAAATTGGGTAGATAGTGCAACTTTAATCATCCTTGAATTTCAGGGAACATATGGACAAATGTTCAAAGGTCATTACAGTAATGTGGGGTCTCTGACAAAGAATTTGCTAAATACTCTGAACTTAGAATAGACAAATTTGTACTGAAGTTCAGTGCAGACAGTAAAAAAAAAAAAAGTTGTTATTGTCCCGCACAGAAAACTGGAACAGTTGGAAGAACCAAGGCACAAATATAATAAGATTTAATAAGGTGTAAAGGGTTTAAGTAAGGTGAGGAAAGTGGTAAGTCATATGACAAGCCAAACAAAAATGCATGGAACTACACAGTTCTGCTATTTCAACAACTTTCATCGGTAATAACAAGAAGTAGGTAAAAGAGTGGTGCTTTTGGTGTTTATATCTGAAGACACACTGTAAATGTTCAAAAAGTGTCCCACCGAGGAGCCATAAATAGGGTCATGAAGGCCGAACTTTGATCCCACCTTCAAAAATCAATCTCAGAGAAGTTCTTAGAGCTAACTTATCCTTGAAAAGCTTGGTATAAAGTGAATCAGTCTCTAAAGCTCACTTGCTGTGTAAGCTGAAGTCACTTCAGACAGGAAATGACCGGAAACGAGTGGTTCAAAATGAGTTTTCAGCTGTTTTGTCGGGTCCATATTAATGTGGGGGTTTCAGAAGCCCCACATAAACCTGATTATGACAAGAGGCTGCAGAGATCTTTGCCTAACTTGCCACAACAGCTGACAGATGTACTTGGAAGGAGCTAGTTTTCTAGTTTGACCCACATAAAGTAGCTTTTTTTTTTTTTGGGAGGCAAGCAAGACACAAGAATGGTCAAACTGGGTCAGACCAACGGTCCATCCAATCCAGTATCCTGTCTGACAGTGGCCGGTACCAAATGCTTCACAGGGAATTAACAGAACAAAGCAATTATCAAGTGACCTATCCCCTGTTGTCCAGTTCCAGCTTCTGGTAGTTGGAGGTTTAGGGTTAACCAGAGCATGAGGTTGTGTAAAATGGCCCATGAAGACTACTGAGTTGGGATAGAACGATGTACCCTGGTTTTCAGCAACAGTCTGAAGCCAGTGTCTCAGTACCATGGAACCTGCCTTGGTTGTGTGAAACAGAGTGAAGAGCCACATCTGTCTTGGCCACTGTGGGGCTGTTAGGCTCAAAAACCTTGGTCTCTCCAGACTTTTGCTACCAGTGCGATTGGTAGAGAAGCTCCCTCCCAAGTGGGCAGAGATGGCGTCCCTTGCTAACAAAATCATTTCCCAGTGTCACGAGCAGGCTTATTGTTCAGGTAAGTGGTAAAGTGATGCATTGCTGGTGGAAAGAAGATCTGGTCTGCCATCCCCCAATCCAGCGGCCACTTGTGAGGATCTATCACAATTCCTGGATTGCATGTCTGCAGCCACTTTATCCTTCGACTAGAGATACATGATGACAGAAACATCTCATGAGATGGAACCAGTGTTGCTACCTCGTGGAATTTTTATCATGATTCTTATGACATTTGGTGTTTTTTCTTTAAGTCCCATGTCCTGGAGTCATATGATTTCTAAAAATCTCCCTTTTTCAAAAGGAAAGGTAAATTTGTAGCTAATGTGGCTGCACAGAAAACCTTGAAAATGAGAACATGTACCCTAAGAACTGAAAAGCGAGATAAAAAACTAAAAACATATTTACTTTTAAAAAAAATCATGCTTTTAAGCAATTTTTTCTTTTTGAGCGATCCTGACTTTTGAATGCTTGGGGGATGGCAATACTGCAGATGTCATTTAGGGCATAATGTGGCCCGGAGAACCTTTATTTTCTAATAAATAGGATTCTCATTCCTGAGTCTTAGCTTCTTAGTGTGAGCTCTTAAGGGTGGGGTTTTTTTTTTGTTTTGGGAGATTTGGTTAGTTTGGACCCTTCAGGACAGTGGTAGAAAGGTAGGATGTAAACCTACTGATTGCCATGCACCATCCCTGCAAAGTAAAAATGCTGCCCTGTACATGCCAGTTGCTTTTTGATTCCAGTCAACAAAAGAGCTCTGCAGGAGACTGCACTTTGTGGGCCATTACTCCAGCTCTCCATTGGATCCCAACTATACCTTGTCAGGTGCCTTTTTTCTCCCTGGTATTACTCTGCCTCTCATATGGTTGTTGAATTTTTAAGGCTTTTCCCTTGGGTGCCTCTGCACTTCTGCAGTGTTTCTGTTTGCATCACTGCCTACGTTGGTGCTTGAGTGCCTCTAGCCTGTGGTGCCTGATGGATGTGGAAGTGGGTTTCATCCAGCATTACCAACTCTTGCAATTTTGTGTGTTCCTACTGACATTAAAGCCCTCTCATTTTATGTTTTCAGTAGTTTACTATTCCAATTCCCATTTAGCCTTCCTAATTTCCATCTTGCATTTGAGCATCCATAGTCAATGTCCTTTTCTGTTGGTTTACTTTGAACTATTTGAATGTCACCTCTCTGACTTGAATAAAGTCTTGCCAGGAATGGTTTTATTCATGCCTTCCTTTTCATTTAGGGGTATCCGCATCTTCTGTGATTCAGTTATAGTACACTTAAGCAGCTTCGATGCTGAGTTTAAGTTTCTTCCATAAATTACCAGACATTTATTTTAGATTTGTTTCAAGTACGCTAATCAATTCCCCGTAAGCAAATGTATACAATTTTGAGACACTAATTTAAAAGAACCTGATTTATAAAATGGTTTATTGCCAACAAAAGACTCTCCTGGCTACCCACGTGAGATCCCTGCTTAATACCTCCCTCCAGAAAAGCCTGGGAAAATAAAAGGATCTTTCAGCAGGATCATCAAAGTCAGGCTCTGGCAGAACAAGTGAGCACCGGGGAAATAAATTCTAAAGCCAATGAGAACAACCTATCAGCTGCATCTCTTGTTAAACCTGGTACCATTATCTCAAGCATCTTGGCTGAGCAATCACAAAAGGAATGAGCCAGCCTCTAAAGTAGGCAGAGAGGGATCCATTTAGAGCTAACACTTCAGACAATCTGGAAATGAACTAGTAGTCAGGAAGGGCACACATATAGCATGCTCCCCATTGGAATCTAGCATCAGAGGCAGACAGCTGCATTCTACAATAAATTAATGGCCTTAAAGCGTAGCCTTTATGAGGCACGGCAGTCATGGATGAGAGACTTTTCTGAGTAGCGTGGGTCAATGTTCTGTAGCATATTTAGAAACCCATATCTTCCACTTGAGATTCGGGCTACAGATCAAAGGACAGTGCTACTAATTGTACAACTGTGAGAATATATTTACATGACACCTTTCAACACAGATATGAAAAATGCTGTGCATTAAACAAAGTGCTGGAAATTGTTTTCAGATCCTCCAAGATGAAACGTGTTATATAAATATTAAATTCCCCAAATT